TGGCAGAAATTTTGAGCATTCAAAGGTGTGAAGTGTGGGGAAAAGCAAAACTAAAATTTAATTAATTCATGCTAGTGAGACAGCAAGACACACTGGAAAGAAAAAGCCTGGGAAGGCGCTTGCATGTGTTGTGGTAGAACAGCTGCCTACTAAACCTACTAAAACTACTGAACCCACAAGCAACTACTGAAGTGACCTGCCTATATTCGAGTTTGGAATATAGGCCTTTGGGGCTCCAGCACCTAGTACCTGTGCTTGCTGGTACTGAGGATCTTGTTTAAAATGTCACGTTTTTGGTCTCTGTTATATTCCAATTCAAGCAAAAGTTGGTTTGTGAAGCCCAGTCCAAAGTAAGAATTCTCCTTATTGTTCTCACTACCATCGTGCCCGACTTCCTAAACAGACCACAGGAATAAGTAAAGAGAAACCATCCCTGCCCATTGTGGGATCAACCTGGGTTGCTTACTTTCAACATACATTTTCAAGATTATAGATTATCTCTTCACATTGGGATCATTTCTTAGTGTTTCCTGAATAATAGGAACTTTTGGTCTAGTCCTCTTCACTTTTCAAAGTTATGGTGGGTAGAAAGAGAAATAAAAGTATCCTTCTCCCCACAGCAGTACAGCTTACACACAAGTTGCCACATGGTGGATTGTGCATCCTCTAACAGTGATAACTAATGCCACACCCCTACATGGTCTCTTTGAGTGAGGGATAGACCACAAAATCAATCAATGGGATTTATCTTGCTGCTTCTCCATACAGCAAAGTACTCCCAAGATTCCTTGGTTGCTACATGACCAGAGCTTTTCTTCCAACATTAGGAGAAATAATCCCACAACTACCAGGATTCCTTGTAGCTTCCAAATTTGAGTTAATGGTGACAGAGGGGTGAGACCTCTGTCACCATTTTGAGAAGGTTGAGCAGAACGGCTTAAAACTTGGATTTGGCTCTGGACTCTCCTAGAAGATATAGCTATGAGATACTCTCCAAAAATTTTACAAATAAAAAACATCTTAGCCATTTATGTATCTAAGCAACATCAGAATGCAGTCAAGATGGTAAAAGTGGTTCTGAAAAAGAACACACAAGCTAGGAGAGGCTGGAGCAGTTTGCTTTCATCTGAGCTTACTGGTAATGGCACCATTCTGGCCCCTCTTTGCCCCCCCCCCAAAGATAATTGAGTGTAAGCTACTTTTGCACTTGGAACTTAGTTTGTAGTAATTGAAGTAAGCTCAAGACGAAGAAGGAAAGCAGAAAGAGGAAAAGACAAACTAGAACATTTTAGAAGCAGCTGAAGAAGCAGGACAACGGAGGACTGATTGGGGGTTTCCCTGCGAAGTCAGAACAGTTAGGGGGTATGCTGTTTGACACACCCCAAACAAAAACTTGTTTGAACCAGACTATAACAAAACACTTATGGAACAAAAGAGAAACATAGCAGCCAAAGAGTAGAAACCATTAAGAAAAATGATACATGAAAAGTGATACTACCCCAATTCCTAGCTTAAAGTGTATCATTTTTTTCTCTACATTCCCTTAAGGAAGATGTGTTTCACAAGAGCAAGGGAGTTCCAGTCCTGGAGAGCAACCATGAACAATTTCTTTCAGTGTTGCTTGCACTGTTTGAACTCAAATCCCAAATCCTTTTCCTATCAGGTACTCTAGCTGAAACCACGAGGAGCCGGGGCCCCAGGCCTTCAAGAGATCAAATTAAGCAGCATTCTTCTTCTACCTATTTAATGAAGTCTTGTGAACTTCCATGACAAGGCAACATATTTTCCCTAAATTGCTGCTTAGTTAATATACCCCTAGGCTGTCTCGTAACATGAGTTAAAGAACCAAACTCCACCAATTTATCCCTATATGACCTACAAAGGCAACACCCTCACTCCTCCAGTCCTGCCTAGACACCAGTGAACTTTGTTTTCTCACTGTTTTCAAGGCAGTGATTCTTTCTCTACTATCAATGCTTCAAAGCTGTGATTTTCTGGGTCCTGTTCTGTGAAATAAGCATTAGAATAGTATCTCACCAGTCCTTGGTGTCTTCCTCTCTCCATTTGTGTTTCTTTATTAGGTAACATGCACGTATCATTTTAGTCACTTCCTTTCCTATCCTGGAATGGATCCCACCCGATCCTGGCCTTTCTCCCCCTCCACTTCCTGCATTCTGTTTCTTTCATCATCTCTCTTCTCATGTGATCCTGAATTCCTGTTGTTTATATCTTTAAAGCCCACAGAAATTTGTGTAGGATTCTTTGGCTGAATAAATATTTCTCATCTTTTCTCTGCCATCCTTGTCAAATTAGCAAGAGGACTGCCAAGGCTAGCAAGCTGCATTGGGCCATTGGATCCACAGTTGAATGGTAATGAGGGTAGTGAGTCTGTGCAGTATCACAAAGAAAGACCACGCGGCAAGTAATAAACATGCCCACAAAGTCGACCCTCATCCCTACCTCCTCCCTCCCAACTTGACTGACTTGTGCCTGGAAGCATGAAAGATTGCATTCTTTCCAAACCTCTGCTTCGTTTGTTCCAATGTTCTATGTCGTAACACTGGATATTCCAGTTCCCCCTATAAACGTGCCCTCTGTTTTCTTGTTGTTGTCACTGATGTGGTGGGCCAGTGAGTTCTCCAGTCCAATTTTTGGGTTGAAATGGAAAAGGTTACCTTTTGCCAGAGGACATTCTCCTTTCGAAGGAACTCAGTACTCCCTTGATCTTATGCAGGCAAATGACTTCTCTGAATCTGCCTAGTCTGTATTACCCATACTGAGATGCACATTTTTGAAAGAAAGAACAGATATGTGGGGAGCACTCAATGTGTATTGGGAATCTGGGATATAACAGAACAGACAACCTTTGAAGACAGATCAGGGCAGACCTCAGAAAAATTGCATTACAGGTCCTGAATACTGGGGATATTGGGAGTTATCATTGAAAAACCGATTCTTCTAAGCTTTGAGATAAATGTTGGCAAGCATGATCACTGAAAGAGAAGTGGCTGTGATGCTGTCAAAAGAGTGTGTGAGAGAGAAGGTGTCACACAGAGAAAGAGGAAAACTAGGATATCATAAATATGTGCTGCCATATATCTTGCTCTTATACTATCTATCATAGCAAAACATGCTTGGGAACTCTAGTTTGGTAAAATGCTAAAGCCATTATCTATTGTTTTTGCCATCTTTGTTGCCACCTGCCACATGAATTGGTTTCCAAAGATCAGGAACAAATTCAGATAGGAGATTTCCACATGAACTAATTCAAGGCTGATTTGTCAATCAGTATGTCTTGAGTTGTTTACATACCCACCAACTCAGGGACAGCTCTGAATAGTCCCCTGTATTCCCACTGTTTCAATTGCTTTAATAATAACCCCTTTCAACCTCCGCCTTGTCCTCAGTTTGTTTCAATAGCAGAAAATTGAGTTAGAAGTGCAAAAGTAGTTTGGAGCAGTGGAATTTTTCCCCCTTCCCAGTAGGTTGAGGCAAAAGCAAATTGTGACAGCCTCTCTTAGCTTGTGAGTTCTTTTCATTAATAACTTTTGCATTTTTAACTACACTCTAATGTTGCTACCAAGTTTCAACAGTGAAACGTTGGAGTGTCTATAGTTGTGTTTCAGGATGCCAGTCTGTGAGATTCAGTTGCTTGTGCCATCTATGGCCTGCTAATGAACTTTAGCTGTTTGTATTGTGGGTAGCTAACATTACTGATTTTATATATTCCCCCCCTTTTTTTGCCAAGTAGGGCTCTCAAAACACAATAAAATGCAGATTGTAAACAAAATCATGATTCTATTCATAACATTTTAAGAACCTTCATTATAACAACAATAAAAGACAAAGCCAGCACCCAGCCACTTGGAGGCGTTTCTATAATAAATCAGCCCATGTGCCAATGGCCTGCTTGAATACAAAGGTTTTGATCAAGAGACTGGGTACATGTATTTGGAAACACTGAATGCCTTTCTCCTTAAAAATAGCTGTGCTTCCTCACACCGATATAAATATCTTCTAATGATTCCTTTTCCAGCTTCTAAACATAGCAATTTAAGAGGGTCCTGCTTGGGAATGAAAGAATGTTCCTATAGTTTGAATGACTTGTATTTGGTTCATAGCCAGTTAAGGCTCACATATACAGCAGTATCTTTTACCTAGAGGGGGAGCCTAGGTGCTAAGCTATGCCAACAGATTTATGGGATATAGCCTGTCTTCATAAACTGTTTCTTCTTTGAGACAAAACTATTGATTTGAGTGAGATTTACAAGCAGGGAAACTCTTCAGGATTACCACCATAATCTCTCTTGAAAGATTTGTGCAGGGCTTTTATTACTGATTGACTAAACAGTCTTTCTTATGTTTGATGCTTCTTGGTCTGGATTTCCACCCCACCCCCTCATAGGATCAAATTCAATTTTAAATAAAAATTGTAGAAACCTTTACACCTGCAGCTATTCTTTTAACAAACATTCTAACAATGCTCTTGGAATACAGGCTTCTATGAGAAATTCCCCCCGCCCTGCTGTGTGTTCAGATTTTTTTTTTAATGAATGACATTTCCGGAATTACAAATTACTCAAGGCTCTCTCTTGCCAGGATATGGCATCCAACTTCCTTACATTCAAACACCTCCGTAGATCTTCATTAATGCACTAGACACTCAAAGCTGGGGCGGACGATTTTCCACTTCCCTCTCTCACTCCAGTTCACACTACCTGCTGTTTCTTCTGCTTCTTTTTTTCCAAGACTGCAAAAGTTTCAACAGCCCTTGGCTCACTATAAGGACTAAACTTTCCATTCCATTAAATCAGGTCCACGTGTCAGTTTTAAAGCTGCAGGTTACAAAGAGATCTTATCAGCCACATGTGCTTCCAGAAACAATACCAAGCACTCCAGCTCTGTATCATTTTACAGCTTCAAAGTGCTAAACAAACATTAATTAGTCCTGACCACAGTCCTGCTGAGAAGGCAAGTATCAATATCTCCATTTTACTTACAGAGGAGGAAAGGAGCCTAGGGTGGTCAGCATCTCATCCAGATCCCTGTAAAGATGACCGAGGAGCAGAGCCAAGAAGAAAAAGGCAGGCATCACTACTAGCCTTTTATCCCCTTTCCGTACTCTAGTTTCCAGCCTTCCCGTTCCCCTTCATTTTTGATGGGCCCCCTGGCATCCTCTGTTTTTTTTTCCATGCTCTGGTCTCTCTTTTCTTTTCAGTGCATGCTCTGCAGACTCTTCCGCTTGTTAATGAAGAGCTACACAGAGACAAGTGCTTTGTCCTGCTGCCTCACCTCCAGCCCATTGATCTGTTCAACTCAAAATGTTTCCTTCACTCTCGTCAATTAAGATCATTTATCAAGGAGGGTGAAAGGTTGACCTGATCTACTACAGGGAATGGGCTCATCCTGTCTGTTTCCAGCCCAAATTTCACATAGGTTAATCCATTTACAAATCTGCTCTATCATATTTCTGCCTTGATTTGTGGGTTTTTATGTATTCTGAACTTATTTTCTCACCAAACAAATTATTCCTAGCCTTTGTTTTTGAGAGATATCCTATGCCCTGCTAAGGTTGATGCCAGGAAGGTGAGAAGGAAGTAAGAACAGCCTTTTTGCTCTTTCTTTCCTCCTACCAGCTGTGGGCTTTCTATGCTTTAAGCCAAGGAGAACTTCAGGCCCTGGTGCAATTCAGGCTTTTTGTGCGTCCTGTCCCAATCTCCGAAATAGTCAGATCCTTTTCCTTGTGACACATCACTTAGCAGCAATGCATGTATTATAATGTTTGTTTCTTCCTTTCTAGAAGTTTGAAATGACTCTCCTAAGATTTACTTATTGGCCATAAGAGCTTTTTTAATGCTGTTGGGTTCTTAATCTATAAAAAGAGGTGCTACCTAAATATTAAGAAAATATTGTCCAACAGAGCCATATGACTGTGGAATAGAGTTCCTCAGAGGGTGGTAGACTCTTCTTTGGAGATTTTAACCACATGTTGGAGGCCCACCTTTAATGTGTGCTATAGTAATTTATTTATTTCCTTTATTTATGCCTTCCAGTATGATGGGGTTAGACTATACAGCCCTGGCAGTCCCTTCCAACTATTATTTTATGATTATCTCCAAAGCTAACATAAATTACTGACTGGTTTGGTAGTTCAAAGAGAAGGAAAACTGTGGATCCGGGATCTACTGTCTCTCCCATATCACAACCAACACCATCCCACATACATATACATTCTTCCTTTCCCCACTCTCTGATGTTGGAGTTTGGGTGTTGAAAAAGTTAGAACTATGGCTATTTCTCCAGAGTTTGGGATGGGAAATCTAAGGTTTATCGGTTTCTATGTGGAATGGTGATCTTTCTCTGTCCTAAAAGGGAAATATGATATATCCGACAGCCTCTGGGTCAAAAGGTCAAAAGAAGGTCCTATAACATTCCCTGTATGCAAATATGAACTATTATGTCCTAAAATATGCATTTTAGCATACTATTTGGTTTAGTCTGTAAGCTGGGAACTACACCTCACAATCCTGAAAAGTACATATGCTAAAAGACAACTGGACTGAGATCTACGCAGTAGTCTGGGAGATGCAAAAAGGATGTAAATCTTTTGTATATCCAAATCTCTGCCCCTACCACCACCACCACAACCACATCATACATGGATGATAATGAATTTTTACAGCACATGAAATGAGTGTAGCTTCTGTTGAACCTTCTCCTACTTGATAAACTGCTTTGCTACTTTAAAAACACAGAATATAGCCAACATTGCAAGAGACAGCATTAGTTATTGAATCTGATAATTGAAACAATTGAACAAGTGGTGACTGACATGTTATCTGAAATAGTAAATATTTTCTCTTCCCTTCTTCCCTTGCTTTTTTAGCACAGTCACTAGATCTTTGCTTTGACATGTCACATATGCATGAAGAGGCTGTCACTAAATTAGAGGAAATATGACTTTATTCTAAAAACTTTCAATACATTCATTCCAGACAGTTCATAGACCCCCTTTTTATATTTGGGGAGATTACAGGTAAAATACTATTTCAACCAGAATCAACAATAACTATGATGGTTGTAGAATTCTGTGAACTATGGTCCAAAAAGGTAAAATTTCCAGGTCATTGATTTCAGTGTATTAGTAATCAGAAAGAATGTATATTATGGGGACTGAAAGTTGGTGACTGCTGCTTGGGAAAAATCCATTCTATTGTCCCCACCCATGTAGCTGGATTCTTCAGAAGCAACCTCTAATCCTCTGGAATTATCTCACAGAGAATTGGGTCTCGTGCACTGGCAGAAGCACTGTTCGATTGATCCAGTGTCTGCTAGTGGAAGAATGCCTTTCAGTCAAGGGTAAAATCACATGGTCTTCCAGCTATTGTTGCATTTTAATTCCAAGCAGGCCTAACCTTCATTAAACAGAGTTGCCAGTTCAGGATCACCTTAGGCCTTGAGATTTTTGGGCCAACACCTGAGACTTGGGGGCAGCCTGGGATGTAAACAGTAAGGTAGCCAATTAAATCCTTAATCATTCTGGACTATCTTTGAAAATTGCAGCAAGAAATAAACATGTTATAATATACCAAGCTGCTGCCCTATGGAATTTTGAGATCTTACTTTACTTAGTGGTAGGACCGGCTGTGCCTATAATCTAATGGCAGAAGACCTAGACCTAATTCCAGACATTGACCGGTGCTTACTTCTCCACTAATGCATAGGCTCACTTGGCATGCATTACAAAAAGGCCCATATTGTGGAATGTTCACGCTGTATGATTGTTTGACTTCCTTCTCAAAATAAAGCATGGGAGCCAGGGAGATCACATGGACTGTGTACTAATAACCTATGTGGGTGTATGGAGTAGATTGTTTATCCCACCCACCACCCACCTTTTTGTGAGGTGCTGGTCAGGATGGTCTGGGTCTGGAGATCAAAAAGGTTCGGCTTCTGCTATGAACTCATTGTGCAACCTTAAGAAAACCTCAACTTTGGCCCATTTTACCTGGAAGTCAGTCCTGCAAAACTCAAAGGTATATCTGAAGTTTAGAGGGCTTTCTTGTCTGGTCCTTTTCTATGAATGCATTGCAAACTTATTTTGTTTTGAGGACAAGCACAATTAAGATTTTCCAGAATAGCAATAACAGGAGCAGCAGCAATTATGACAAGCCAAATGCTGAGGAATTGCTTATGCAGTATGAACTGCATGTTGTTCATTTGACCTGGATTCTAAGGTAAATGTCTCATCTTAGTGACTTGTTTTCAACGCATTGCTACTTCTGATATTGAGGTTACAAGAATTCCCAACTAGACCTTTGGAAAGTTATTTCTTGAATTCCACCTTTCAGGGTCTCTGGTCTAACAAGATTACTTGTCATTCTGGGAACTTCTGGGAGCTGTAGTCCAAAATAGTAACTTTCCTAAGTCCTATCCTTGACATTGGAATATGGAAAACAACAGAGCTCTTCAGTGCCAGGCAAACCAAAACTGAACCTAAAATGTTTTCGAACTCTACTACAGATCATGAAAATATCTTGACGCCATTCTTAAAGAGAAGTTAATATATGTATATTTATTTAGTATGATGCATGTATTCATTTTTAAATTTAAATTAAAACTTCATGCAGAGTTTGACTCTTCACTCTGAAACTTACATCCCAGTGGTTTACACATGTGAAATACATTTTTTTTTAAAAAAAATGCTGACATGACTTCCCATTGAGGTGGTACCTATTGATCTATTCGCATTGCATGCTTTTGAACTGCTAGGTTGACAGAAACTAGGACTGACAATCGGGAGCTCACCCCAACTCATAGCTTCAAACTGTTGACCCTCCGGTCAGCAGACTTTCTGGCAGCTAGCCGTTTTAACCACTGTGCTACTGTCGCCCCATACATAGAGATAGGTAAAGGTAGTCCCCTGACATTAAGTCCAGTCATGTCTGACTCTGGGGTGTGGTGCTCATCTCCATTTCTAAGCCGAAGAGCCAGCATTGTCCGCAGACACCTCCAAGGTCATGTGGCTGGCATGACTGCATGGAGCGCCGTTACCTTCCCACCGGAGCGGTACCTATTGATCTACTCACATTTGCCTGTTTTCGAACTGCTAGGTTGGCAGAAGCTAGGGCTGACAGCAGTAGCTCACACTGCTCCCCGGAATCGAACCTGCGACCTTTCGATCAACAAGCTCAACAGCTCAGTGCTTTAACCCACTGTGCCACTGGGGGCACCTATAGAGATACATAGGATGAAATGCAGTTAACTGGCAGAATCTTGTGGAAGGAGGCACTCCTTCATATACCCTGTCCCAACACCATTTAGGACTGTAAAGGTCATATCTGGCACCTTGAATGGGGCCTTTCAATCAGTGGAATTCAGTGTTGTGTTGACTGCATTTTGTGTTATTCTTTAACCAAGAATGTTTGAGTCACAGAGAAGTTTAAAAAGCCATAGGGTAACTCATCTCTTATTTTCTTATTTGCTTTTTATGAAGCCTGCTGAAGGTAGAAGGAAGAGTCCCTTTTTATTAGTTAATCTTCAGATATGTTGTGCATGATTTTTTGTTGAGATGTAGACTTTTGCAAACGATTTCCTGTTTCCCAAGGCCAACCAGTATAAACACACCTCTGAACAAGAGAGAACTTTTTATCATGTGTTGGACATGGAGAAAAGAAAAAAATGTTCAGAATCATAGCTTGATGCAGAAAATAAAATTTCAGCTGAAACCCAAACTTTTCCTGCTGGGCCTGATGGATGAACAGGTTAAGAAGAATTGTAGAAATATACTGCACTATATTATTATATATGCAAATTGCTGTATGTGCAGAAACAAAAGGGCACAGCTATTCTACCACAGAGGGACTGGTTAATGAATTTTCATGGGAAATTGGGAAATTGACTATTTTGATTAGAGGAAACTCACCGAGCAATTTTAATACGGATTGTTTTCTTGCAAGACTACTGGGAAAAAATATCAATAGTAGGACCTGATGATTATTCGAATAGTCATTTGTAAAATTCATGTATAGTTTTTAGTACAGAAAGTATAACATTTTGACATCTATAACCATTATGCCATTGTCAAGGTCCCTTTTTAATATATTTTTTTCTTAGATGTGGTGTTTAATAATTTGTAGAGTCATGGTTTTTAACCTTTTTTGTATATTTTCTTTACTTTTCTGTAGTTTTTCATGCTTTATGTTTTTACACTTTAAAAGTATGTTTAATTATTTGTGTGTGTGTGTGTCTGTGTGTGT